AAATAAAAAATAATCCTAATCTAATTCTAAATTAATTTATATAAAAAAAAGCTTTTAAAAAAATTGTTAATTTGGTCCCTTTTTCCAGCACCTAACCCATATATAGATTTCTACTTAAAGCTTTAAACCTTTTCTCATCTGCAATAAAGACTCACTTAGCTGTCTATAAGAGTGTCCAAGTATATTCTATCACAATAAACAATTTTTTTCCTCTCATAATCTCAACTAACTAAAGTCTCTTCTTTGGATCTATGAATAGTATTTGCTAACCTTGTTAGAATTGGCTTTTTTCTCTTTTAATTTTTTTTTCTTCAAAGAGGCCAAAGAAAAAAAAGTAAAAATATGAAAAAAATAAATATATATAAACAAAAAAAATATAAAAAAGAAAAAACAAAATAAACAATCCTAATAGCACTAAATTAACTTATGCTAGGTTTAAAAGTAGAGTATTCTCTGTAATAATCACATGCATAATTTGTAGGTAATAACCAAAAATTTGCAGGTAATAACACAAAACTAGCCAATCAAATCATGCAATTTATGTGTGATTTACAAGTAATCAATACTAAATATACTTGACCCTTAAAAATTATTTACTACTCTTAAACTAGTGTTACTTTAAACTTAGTATATAGTATATATATTGCTAATGCAAAATAGAGTAGAATCTTTGCTATTATTTTTTAAGCAGCAAATCAAAAATGAGTATTTGTTTTCTTCTTATATATAATTTTATATATAAGCTACACATAACTATTTAGTAACTCTTACTCATAATTTGGTAGTAGTACACAATACAGAGCTTTTAAAATACATATATTAGATTTCTCACTTTTTTATAAAAATTTTTACTATATTTACTCAAAATAATGCACAGAGTGTAATTTCAAATTTTGGCCTAAATTAGGCCAAATTTTAAAATTATATTACTGCATATTATTGAGTAAATATAGTAAAAAAAAACAAAATCTAGTAATAGTAATATATAGAGGAAGATAAAAACAAGTCATTTGCTATTTTTTTATTAAACCTTCTATAAAAAACTTTGTTAGCAAAAGTATTTTTTTTTTTTTAACTTTGGCGTATCTTGCCAGGTATTTGTAAAAGTATTTCTATTTCTTACAAAATTTTTTATATATAGATATTATCTACTGCCAATTATCTTGTATAATAGTACTTTTGGTTTATATATTAAATATACTCAGAAGTTCTTAGAGAAAAAAAAGAAAACTTCTTAATTAATTTTAATAAAACTATTTCTTTATAGTGTTGTAAAATATAAAGAAAACTCTTTTTGATAATCACACTTTTACCAAAAATTTTCAAAAAACTTTATACTAGAAAAAATACAAACAGCTATACTAGACTATAAAATATGAAAAACAGAACTATAAGATAGCAACTATTATTTAAAAATAGTTCTTATATACTATCTGCTAGCAATTTTAGAGTTTATCACTTACTGCAAATATACACTTATTTAGAAATAGTTCCCAGATGCTATTTGCCAACAAGTTTAGAGTTTATTACTCATCAAAATAACTTAGTACTATACATATTCTAGTATAAACTATAGTTTATTTTTGTAAAAGAAACTTATATTTTTTTATTTTGTATACAAGTAGTTTTTTTTCTTTACTCTAGTTCTCTGCCACTTTTACAAAAATTTTGACAAAAAGTGGGCATTCTAGCTTATATTCTTTAAAAGATTAGCATTGTTTACACTTTTTATTTTTAGATAGACAAAGTAGGACATAAATATAGAATTGTTTTGACAACATCAGGAAAATTTTTTATTGCAGTTTTGTGCAGATTTGCTAAAAAATTAAATAATAAATCAAATAAAAATCTGCACAAAACTTCAAAATTTATACTATAAATGCAGAATTAGATACAATTCTGAGCAAAACTTCAAATTCTAAAAAAATTTGCAGATTTTTTACAACAATTTTTCAAATATCTGCAAAAATACAAATTTGAATGTTCTATAAAATAGATAGGCAATATATAAAATAAACTCTGATAATAATTAGTAATCATTAATAAATATTTAGCAGAGTTGTAGAGTCCCGAAATATATAGAGGAGTAAGGTTTTATAAAAATTACTAAATTTAGAAAAATCTGCAAAAAAAAATCAAAAATAAGCAAACTAATTACTATAAATAGAAATAATTTGCACAAAAAGAATTAAAAATAAGCAAACTAAAACCTAACCTATTTATGTATATTTCGGAGTTCTAGTTTGCCCACCTATTCTATAGAGTATTTATAGATTTTTGCAGATTTGTATTTATTTAATTTTCCTGATGAATAATATTCTTACACTATATAACAAACTAATTGGTCTCTGGTTAACAAATTAATCTGGATCAGATTATATAGCTAGAAAGAAATTTAAAGATAAGACTTAGCTTTACAATAAAAATATACAAGATTTTTAAATTTAGTATATATGTGTCTGGCATAGGCTATAATAGTGCTTTTATAAATTGTGTTTTTTTTTACTTTTTTTTTTTTCTTTTATTTGTTTTTGTTGCTATTTATTTTTTAAATTTTACTAACTATAACTGGTGGTGACCATCACCAGGATGCTTATATCTCAAAAATGTACTAAGTAAACAGGATTGGATACTCTAAGTAAAAATGCTCAGGATCCCTTAAAAACTTATAAAAACTAAAATTGGGACCTTATATTAGCTCTATATTATTTTATATAAAAAAAAAAATTCTTAATACCCTAACTCTAACCCTAAAAATAAATAGGTGCAATGATGATCACTACCAGTGATTTTAAGTAAAAACCTTATTTTTTATTATTTAGACAGTTTTTTTCTTCTCTTTTTTTTCATTCTCTTATATTTTGTTAGTATTAATTTTTTTTTTATAAGTTAGTTAGAGACTATAAATCTTTTAGCTTAGGAAGCTAGAAGAAGAAGATTAAAAAAAAGGTAATATTAATAGGTTGTAAATACTTTTTAGCAATATATTGAATTATTTAGTTACAGAATTTTTTGGTATAGAGATAAACTTTATTATAGCAAATCAAATATGAGTAATTTGGATATTTTGGTATTGTGAAGAGCTAGGTTAGCTGATACTTGAGATCTCTTGCAGTATAGATTTTTCTAGTAAATATGATAAATAAAGGCATTATAACTTAAGTTACAATACATTTATTCACTATATTTACTAGAAAAAATAAAGGTATAATCTATACTACAAGAGATTTGATACTCATAACTTAAATAGGCTTTAGGTAACTTTGCTAAAATTATATTTTACAATTAAGTTAAATATTAAAACCTAATAAAGTATTAGCATAATTGCTAAATTTTTTAAAATATATATATATAGTGTTGTGAAACAGATTTTTGTAGATTAGCATAGCATAGTACATAATTTATATTTTATATTTTATATTATTTAGCTTTATATTATTAACTTGTATTTTATATTAAATATTTATTATTTATCATATTTGTATTTTTAACAGAAGCTTTATTAGATAAAATATTAAATTTAAAGCTATTATAGTATATACTATAGCTAAATTAAACAAGGTAGTATTAAAGAACAGCTTTCAACTTCTTCAATATAGCTTAACTCTTTCAAGTATATGTTGTAATACTCTTTACTCTCTCTACTGTCACGGGTTAATCAGTGACTTTTGTCAAATAAAAATCCAACCTGGATGGTAGGCACTAATAATTAGACACCATATGAACAAAACTCAACAAGGCAAGCGTTTACTTTATTATTCAAATGAACTTTATTTATTAAAGGTTTAATTTATTACAAGCAAAACTTCATAAACTAACTTACTAACTAAGACTATTATTACAATCGCTTCGACTATATACATACTTTGGGTTACATTACTTATATTATAATTTGTTCATATACGATCATACGATCATTTGACTCTTATATTACTAATTGATTACTTCATATTTCTATATATTTTATGTGCATATTCTATTGATCATTTCAATGATCACATAATTCTGATCAATTATGTGCATCACATGCACAAGTCATTTATCGATTGTTCACTTATTACCTTATTTTCTATACATGTTTCTTGCATACTGTATTTCACCATGATACTACTATCTTGGCTTAGCATATAAAAGATATATAAAAGGTGTATTTGTCCTTTATATTTAGTTTAGAGTTTTTACTCCTCTTATAAAATCTGAATACTTCTCTTATTCCTTTTTTGTAAAGTGTAATATTCTTTTTCTAGAGTAATTTTTACAAACAAGGTTTATTACAATCTTTAATCTTAATAAAATTATATACTGTTATTATCTCAAATTGTCTGCCTCCTACTAGTAAAGTAAGGCATTATTTTACTCTTTACCTTATATATATTTATAAAGTATATTACTATACTAGATAATCTTGTTACTGTATTATATTAGTATCAAGAAGGCTATAGCATTGTAACAATAGTACTTCTTTATTTAACTTTAGTTTTTAGTTTTTTATTTGTAAAAAAATTTAATATAAGTAATTATTAATAAGAGTGCAAATTTGTAATTTACCTTTTATAATTATATAAATTTTATAATAAAAGTATTCACTTTGTACTATTTAAATTTTTGTATATTAATTTGTTAGAATATTGCTATTATATAACTAATTTTAGTTGAATACTAGGATGATTTAATTATCTAATAATGTTATATAATATAATTTATTATTATTAGTATTAGAAAAATTTTTCTTTAAACTGTCTAGCAGGTATATTTGCTTGCTAGAATTTTTTTACCTGATTTTGTAAAATTACACCTGACTTTATTAGATAATAGTACCTTCTTTTATATGCCAAAATGAAAAAATATGATTTTGTACATCATTATTTCAAAAGACTAGAAGTGTAATAATTATTTAGATCATGTGTAAGTAGTATAATACAAATTTTAAAAACAAATTGATAATTGTTATCAAAATTCTAAAAGCAAATTAGGCTAGAATTTTTTTTACTATATCAAATATGTGTTTGTTGCTTTCTTATAAAAATTCTAAAATATATAATGATAATAATGGTGAGTGAAAATATATATCAGTTCTGGTATCTCACTGGCATCTCTTAGACAACTCAGAATCTGATAAGAATAAGCAAGAAGAAGAGAACACTGGTGGTGTTCTCAAGAAAGTTTGCAAATAAAAGCTGCATAAAATTGCTACCACTATCTACTAATTTTGAACTACTAGTTTATCAATAGCAACTGCACTAGAGGTTTGTTAATTTGCCCCACAATTTGAAGTTAGTTTTTCAAAACTGATTAATTTTTTTTCTTTTTTTTACAAACAATTTATTAGATTAAATTGTTATCAATATGAATTTGTATGTATTAATAAAAGAAGCTGGATTGTACTAGTAATTTATTAGAGCATTTTTAAACTACTCCCTCTTAATTAATATTGGAACATAGATCTGAAGCTCCTTTTTACAATATTTTAAAACAAATATCACTAAAGCATTTTAAACAGATCAAAAAATATTTGTATATCTCCTCTATAGTAGTAATCAAAAACTACTTTGAAAAATTGGAACTGCTACTTTTACATATCAGAGATGTCTCAAAATAGCTCTACACATCAGGTTCAATTGTTTTAGTTAACTTAATAAGGTGATATTAAGGTTTTCAGAAAAAAGCATTTACGCTATCCATAATAAAAACAAACCAACTTCAGAGGGCTACAAGATTTTTTTACTTTGTAAGTCAGAAAATATATAAACTTTCTTGCCTACTTTATGTGTTTTTCCAAGTGAAGTAACAAAAGTAGTTGGGCTTAACCAAATTGGTTGTCAGATTTATGATCTTGCTATATAGTTATCATATCATTAATTGCTATAAGAATTGCTAAAAGAGGATTTGATATATAGAAGATCAGATTTGTTTGTATTGGTAGAGATTAAAAGTATCATTTAGAATATTTTAAAAGTTTTTTGTTTTACAATGCTATATATTTTAAATAACTAATTATTACACTATACTGCTTTAGAAATAGTATTATTTAGAGATATTAAATTATCTATATTTTTTTTTGGTATTAAGGTGACTTAGAACTTTTTATTAGATAATTAACAATATTTGCAATTACAATGAAAGTATATCACTAGAGAAAAAGGCCATATGCTCCAAATGTATAAACCAAGGGGAGGGTAACTATGAGGCACTTAAAGCCTAGACAGACTAACTCTTTCATATTGCCACTGGAAGCAAAAGATGGACCAATAAAGAATACAGGTAAAGAGACAGTTGAAATGTGGGTATTGGGATTGTTATAAACTATATAAGAGCAATATAATAGATAACTAATTAGAAAGATTGTGGCTTAAGATACAAATTGGGTTATGGTAGCACCCCAAAAGTTGGCTTGAGATACAAATCCAGTGATAGCAACATGACAGGTATTAGTTAGGAAGAAGTTACTAAACATGCAGTTGAAAACATGTGTGGGATATAGACTACTCTATTAGGTTTATCTCATGGAAAGACTAGCTCAAATTGGAATTAGTAAGTCCTAAAGTAAGTGCAAAATCTAATTGGGTATATACAAAATCTACTTCTATATAGTGAGTAATATCCAGAGCTAGAAGGTATCTATTGGTTTGGAATTAGGTTATAGTCAGAGGGTATAAATGAGTATCCCCTGTAGTTAGAGTATAAGTATAGCAAATAGTATAGAACCTTTAGACGAACTATTTAAATTAGACATCTAAAGTGCACATGTAGCTTGATATACTTTTACTGTAATTGAAAAATATAAACTTCTAATAAAATGTTCCCTGGCCTAAGAGGTTACTTTAATATTTAAAAAAAAAAAATTGAAAGTATATTAAGCTATATATGCACTTTTAGTATCTAATTTAAGTAGATTGCCTGAAGTGGTAGTGCTATACTAGAGGTTCTACACTATTTTCTATATCTATATTTCAACTATAGAGGTGTTTATTTAAACTTTCTGATTATAACCACTTGTTGCTCTCACATCTAACCAAGGTGTAACTCATCTATTTATATATAGAATTTTGTGAAATCTATAAATTTTATATCTCCTTAGAAATTACTAACTTAAGCTAGTCTATCTATCTATATCTCATATATGTTTTTACTTGCATATTCAGTAACTTCTTCCTAACTAGTACCTGTTGTACTGCTGTTACTAGGTTCATATCTCAAGCCAAATTTTAGGTGCTGCTATTATCTGACTTATGTCTCAAGCTACAATTTTTTTAGTTAGTTATCTATTATATATTTCTTGTCTTTGTAAAGTTTACAACAACCTCAGTACACATATTTAAACTGTTTTTTTATTTGGATTCTTTATTGGTTTTTTTCTTACTTCTAGTTAGCAACCTAGAAAGGTTGGTTTGCTTAGGCTTTAGGTGCCTCATAGTCTATTTCCTATTGGTTTATACTTTCAGAGCATATATTCTTTTTTTCTAGTATATTACCCAATAGTTTAGCTAGTATATCCTTCACTTAAAGATCTGGTCTTAGACTCTAGTTTGAATTTAGCCCTTCTGTAGCACTATCAAAGATTATTGCTACATCCCAACTTAGGACCTACCAAACAGGTTTTTGGTTATTTCAGTTCCTTAGATTTATTATACCAAAGCTTTTATTGCTAGATAGTGTGACTGAGATTACAAATTTGTTTCTAAATCTAACTAATAATTAATAGCTATTAATATAATACAGGCCTATTTTTCAAAATTGTTATTTGTAGAATTTGAACTCTAGACTTGCTACTTGAAGAGAATAATAACTAGACCACTATACTAAGTTACCACATCTATTAAATTATTTATTTTAAATAGCAAATTTTTTGTATTATTTTTAAATTTTATTCTAAATTAGTTAATTAATATATATATATATATATATATATATATTTTTTAATGACACTGCCTCTTTATTACTCATTACGGTGAAATATACACAAGTATACATTATTTTTACTAAGATTTTCAGTACATCATTGGTAACTAATTTCTAACTAGTACATGTTATGCTGCTATTACCAAGTTCGTATCTCAAGCTACCTTTTAAAGCACTGCCGAAACCCGATCTGTATCTCAAGCCACAACCTTCCTAATTAGTTATCCCCTACCGCAGATGTCCCAGGTCCCTCCCCCTGCGGTGTTTTAGTTTCCGAATTTCTAGAACCACCTAGAGTGAGACATACCAAACCTTACAGCCCAATATAGTTGTTATTTACCTTACCATTGGTCAACACATCCTATGAAGTTTACTTACTCCGACTCCGGGTGCCTCCAGATCATTGGATAGTGGAATATTCCCATTTGCTAGATATCACATGTCCCATACATATGTTTATCTAGACTTCAGCAACCTATGCCACAGCTCTACCTATGTACTTGGGGTCAGGGCTAACTATTAAACCCCTGTGATTACCTACTTCTGCCCTTATTAGGTTCCCAATAACCCTGGTATCTGCATTTGGACCGTCTTCTTACCCAGATTCTTTATTGGTCTCTCTCTTATTTCCAGCCGGCAACCCGGAAGGGTTGGTATGCTCAGGCTTTAGGTACCTGATTAGTTAATTAATATTTTTTATTCTTAAGCAAGATTACTAAAAATTTAACAAATTTTAATAATATAGCTTGGAGCTAGTTTAAAATTTTGAATAAGTTATAAATTTTATTAACTACTATTTTAGCTTTATCTATTTTTCTAAAGATAGTCTTAAACTTTTTAATAAATTTTTTAAAATTTTAAAGCAATAAAAACTTTTTTTTAAAAAATAATACAGAGCTAGACTAATTAACAAACTTTTAATTAGATCTACTTAAGTTTAGCTAGCTAGATACTAATATTAATTAATAAATTCTCTAAATTTAGAGCAAGTTTATTAAACTTATCAAGAAGGCTAATTTTAGATTTTTTTTTTTTTGCTAAATAGAAATTACTTAAATTTGGTGTAATTTATTTTAAAGATCCAAACTTTTATATTACAAAACCAAATTTTCTTGTTAAATTTGGTACAAAGTAGCTAAAAAAATATTATTCAGTTTAGCTATTTTAAAAAGAGCAATATAAACTATATATAGTATTAATTTTAGTAAGAAAGAATTTATATAAAGATTAATTAGATAAAGTTTTTTTAGTTAAATATTTTAAAGTAAAATTTAAATTTAATTGTTGTAACAAGAAATGTCGCAGATTAAAATGAAATCAGATTAAAATAAAATAAATAACCTTTCTCACTCATCTTTAAAGCTTATAAAACCCGCTTATACTCTTTTTTAATAAATCTAACACTAAACCCTAACCCTAACTCTAACCCTAACCCTAAAAAATGTTACCCAAAAAATATTAAAATTTCATTTTAATCTAATTTCATTTTAATCTGTTACAATAATTGAGTTTTTGTTTGATTTTGCCAAGCACTATTTATTACTAATTTTTTAATAATATGATTAATTAGCAATGATAATATTTTTTATGTATACTGTAGGTTTCTGAAAATAAGCTACCCTTTTTTGGTCAAAAAGTGATACAAAAATCATGAGAGTAGCTTATTTTTGAATACAATTAATTTTTATTAATTTTTATTAAGCCACAAGTAGTTGCTATATATAAAAGTCAAAATTTTATTAAGTAAATCGACCAAAGTCGCTTAATAGAGATTGTTCAGGAGATAAATATACACCTATTGTAAAAGTTTCAAGCGAATTAGAGAACTTTTTACTAAGCTATTTTTGCATTTTACATTTGAACGTAAAATGCAAAAAATCTTAGTAAAAAATTCTCTGATTCGCTTAAAACTTTCAGAATAGGTGTAATTTTACCTCCTGAACAATCGCTATTAAGCACTTTGGTCGATTTACTTAATAAACTTTTAACTTTTATATGTAGCAACTACTTGCAGCTAATAGAGAGTAGCTTATTTTCAGAACAAAAGTGTTTCTTATGTTTTCTCTTTAAAAGAAAAGGGGGTAGCTTCTTTTGGAGGTTGCTTATTTTTGAAAACATACAGTACTCTAAGTAAAGTGGCTTAAATACAGACTATATAAATTAGACACTACATGTCTATACTATATTTAATATCTAATATCTAAATACTTAGTATAGTGGTCTAGTTATCATCTTCTCCAAGTAGCAAGTCTAGAGTTCAAATTCTACTAACGAT